AGGTCTCTCTGTTCTTTCCACACAAAGCGGAAGCCGAGTACGAGTAGCAGTAGTAGTAGCAGTAGTAGTAGTAGCAGCAGCAGGAGCAGGAGCAGGAGCAGGAGCAGTAGTAGAGAAGAAGTAGTAGTAGGAGGAGGAGGAGGAGGAGGAGGAGCAGGAATAGGAAGTGGGAACAGGCATAGGAGTAGGAGTCGGGGGAGTGGAGTCGGGGTCGGAGTAGTAGTAGTAGTAGTAGTAGTAGTCGTCGGCGTCGTCGTCGTCATCGTCGGGTTTAGGGTTTAGGGTTTAGGGTTTAGGGTGGTGGTGGTGTGGCGGCGGCGGCGGTGGTGGTGAAGGTGAAGGTGAAGGTGAAAGTAAAGGTGAACGCAGAAGTGAAAGTGAAGGTGAAGGTGGTGGTGAAGATGGCCTTAGCAAGGTTAGAGGTACTCAGACTTGGCAAACAGTGCCTGCAATCTTGCTGGGAATGCTGCACGACAAGTTAGCAACTTCACGTTCCTTGTTGTCGAGCTGATAGATCAAAGAACATGTTAATCAGTAGGTAGCAGCCCTGAGACCTAAGCGCTGCCTAGCACTATGCGAGCCATAATCTAAACTCCTTAGAGGGGATTATATAGGGGAGTCTTTATTCATGGGATACTGGGAGTTTAGACTGTAGCAGTGGCAAAACCACCTCCAAGCCAAGTGTAGAGACAGCGGTAATTAGAGGTAAGGATGGAATCGCGCCTCTTCTGAAACTGGGGTCCCCTTCTTTGCCCATTGTCTACTATATGCACGTCCATGCTAAAGAAAGCCTTGTAGCCCTGCAACTTTAAGCATACAATACTGCAACATGGGAACCCTACCCCCCTCCCTCACGAAGTAAAGGCATCTTTTCCGTCCGAGCGCTGGCCTCTGCTGCTCCAGCGCCATCAGCTCCCGTGCATCTTACGGGCTCTGGAAACAAGGCCGTGGGGCTTGCCTTGTAACAACAACCGTCAGGGAGTGCATGAGGCTTTCCCAGAATTAGAGGTATGTTTTTGGGGGTCTACATAATATAGCATGATTGAATTTGGGGGTCCATCTCAGGTCTCTCTGTTTATGGAAACTGCCACAATCATAAAAAGCCTTATGTTATAACAACTCCCTGAAATCCATGCATGCCCCACAACCCTCCTGACGTTTTTGGGTCTTAGAGTTCTTGGAAGTTACGTGTACAGGTTTGTGTCGGCGTTCGTTGTGTTTCCACATCGTGTGCTCATGTAGTTTGGGGCAGTGGCGCTGTCAGAGGAATTGGGACTGCAGTTTTAGGGGATTTTCTCTGGGGTGCATGGCCCGTAGGCAAGAATTTCGTGTATCAAAGTAGATGGAAAGTAAGCGTGTGGCACCACAGCTTCATGTGTGAAGTTTTCGTTCGGACAGGGTAAGTTGCAGTAGGAAACAAAGCTTGTTTGAAGCAACGTACTCAACAGTGGCTTTGGCAAGTCAAACTCCCCAAAAAATGCAGATGGAATTCGATATGGGCCTGGAGATTGCGCTGCATCGAGTGGACTTGGTTGTGACTTGCAAGATGAGCGCGTCTCACCGGCAAGAAGGGTTTGAAAACTTGGTAAAAAAATTGTTCTTAACGGTGGTGTAGTGGTGTGAGGGCTGTGCTTGCCCCCTGGCATGCATGGTTTTCCAGCTCGACTAGTCCTTAGCCCTCTAGTACGATCGTCGCTGGCATCGCGAGTACCCATCTAGGCTTCCAAACTAATTATTAGCATGCTAAGCTGAGGCCATCTTCAAGAACGAGTGTCTGACACAGGCGCTTTCCTTCCTGACCTGCTGGCACAACTGTAAGCACTGCCTCACGCATGTGATGTAATCAGATTGAAAGCCGCTGAGCAGAGTCTTCTCCAGCCCAGTTTTCCCATCGTCTTCTCTGCTTGTAATTTTGCTTTGGTGAAACTTTGTCAACCGCGCCTCGCAGGAAGTTTTCCAGATATCTCATGATACTCTGGTGAATGGGCCTGGTCTGAGATACCAAGTGGCCACCTGTCATGCCAGAAGGATGTTGTGAATGGAGCAGACCTTGCATCACCCTAGCCTAATCAGCAACGTGATGAATCATACCAAACCCACACACCTCAGTTAGATTGAGGCTAGCACAGATTGAGATGGTCACAGTGAGTGGTCACAGTGAGTGGTCACTTGCGGACTTCGTTGTATGGCATTCGAAAAGTCAAAAGCGCGTAGGATTCGCGGAGCAGTTCTTTGTTGGGGAACCGCTCGTGTTGAGAAAGATTTATCAAGCAAGATTTCTCCATCATTCAGAGCTCAGTCATGACTTTGATGCCACTCTTTCTTGCAAGAAAACAGCAAGCAGAAGATATTCTATAATGTATATGTATACATATATATGTATATCTATACATAAATGCACATATAGGGAGGAGAATGATATAGGAGTTGCGGATGTAGGAGGATTTCTGAAACTAGGGGTAGCTCAGTTTGGGATTCTGGGCACAGCGGCCAAGGTTGGCACCGGTCTTGACAGGGACCGAGTCCTCATCAACTTGGCCTGGGCTTCTTGGTGCAATTTGATTGCTGTTTCTGAAATTAGGTTCTAAAAAATTGGGGGAAAATATGTTTACCCAATTGTTTAGTTTCTGAAATCAGGTTCATCCCTAGAGAGATGGATCACATAAGCTATGGGTGGGGTCTTCTTTGGGATTGTATAGGAGATGTCTTGAGAAGCGCCTGGATGCGGGAGTTTGGAGGTAGACAACACGCACCATGCAAGACATGCATGTGCGTGGAGGGTCGGAAAAGGTAGGTCTAATTCTCCTCTCCTGGCGGTTTCATAGGGGGACCCCAATAATAAAGACCACCAATACATTATTGGCCTTCTTAGAACTCAGAAAAATTTGGAAAACCCTGATCCCGATATTCCACTGCATAAATTCCGGTTCTATGTCATGTTCCACGTTCTCCTCCATTTGATGAACATCGTTCCCCCACAATTTCCATAAACCTTAAACCCCCGTAAATCCTCCTAAAAAAAAAAACTTACATACCCCTGCATAACCCCTGCAAGCACTAGGACCTCCGGTGGGACCCATAATTTCCAAAAGATTCCCGATTGCAGACCTCAGGTCAGCGGGGGCGGTCCCGCACTGGACAAGCAGGTCGAGTATGGACCCATTGGGCCGCCAGACTGGGATCCCGCGTTGTTGATGCGAGGGGTTACATAAAAGAGGCTCCCAATTTGGGGGTACCTAGAATGAAGATTATAGCATTTGGGAGTCAATCTTGATGTCCACCTGTTAATTAGTTTCACATACTTAGGGTGCGCAGAAAGTCTTGATGTTGCAGTGCTAGGCTCTTGCCGCTGAAGCTAATACGCTCTCGAGCGAGGAGAGGCAGCAGGTATGTCCAAGGCCTTCTGATTTCTCATGGAGCACGAAGCTGGTAGGATTGAGGGGTTCTGGATGTAGGACAATAGGGCATTATATGTTGGGATCATTAATGGAAAAGAAAATGGACACCACTATAATGGAGAATCAAATGGAAAATGAAATGGAAACTGGTATTATTTTGGGTTGTATTAAGATAGGGACAGTTATCCGTTTCCAGATTGATCAAGGTTCGTGGACGGCGAGTACTAGCCCTGAAGTGTCAAGCCCATGGCCCAGCCATGAACAGCAATCTCCTTTCCTATCCTACTCGCATGGCACAATCTGCATATTCCACCTGTTGCACTCTCAAGGTTTCAGAAATAAATTTCTGTTGATATGGGATAACACCAGCAGGAGAATTCCTTGACACAGAGTGGCCGGTCTTGGCATCGTTTCACAAAGTTTCACCATCAGAGCTGCTTGTCGGACTGGCGAATGTCAGCAGGCAAGCAGTTGAATCCGTCAGAGGCAGGCCTCGCTGGCTTCAACGAACGGGCAGGTGCATGCCACATACTAAGGCTAGTTTCCATGTTCTTTTCCATCATCCCTATAATATAAACCCTGTATGCCCCTATATTACCCCAATATAGACCCTATTATAATGTAGTAGTTGCAATGTTCTTTTCCATTATCCCTATATACAAAAATTTGCTGTTGGGCCGCAAGGCGTCACAGCACACTCACAATGTTGTGGCTTTGGTCTTCTAAGTATGGAGATGTCCAGCAGATTGGCATCAAACCAACCATCGTTTAGGGCGGAGGTGCCCAGAAAGATGGGTGCTTGCCGCGACCAGTCTCAGGGTAGTCCAAGAATGTGGAGCATGCAAAGAGATTTAAAAAGTTGGCCCAGGGCAGTTGCATTTTGCGCAGGCATCTCGCAGGATGATAGCACTAGCATCATTGCCCGCTGCACACCCCCAATGGCAATGCCATCAAAGCCTTCTGGATGTTTGGACTTTCCATGTTGGCAGGTGGAGTGGGCAAATACTCGGAAAGGTGAGAAAGGCGCTTGAGAAATCAGACGAAACAGCACACGGACGGCGTAGCATTGATGTTTGCTGAGCGGATCGCGGCAGAGATATGGCAACTTGAGTTTCCTGGTGGTGGAGCTGGCATACATGACTGCTCAGTATTTTGCTCGGCATGCCAGGCAAGGGGAACCAAGCTGCTGGAAAAGCAGCGCTGACAGAGGCCAGCTGGTGTCCAGTGGCCATGTTGGCTGATAAGCCGGATGCCCATGTGGAACCTGCAGGGTGAAAGCCCAAAAGTAGAGCATGTTACGGGTGGCGTAGTTCCTTTACGAGGAAGCTCTCCTGGAAATTGACTTTCACAGCAAGCAGCGTTTAAATCATCCGTGTCTTTGGGCCCGGGAAGGCACAGACAAGTTTGAGAGATCCCAGCAGCATCGCAACAATCCCACAAGCCACATGAGAGGCACCTAACGATTGGGTCACCGGCAGCGCGTGGGCTGGTGGCCGGAACCTCATACCAGCTGCGCGATCGGTTCATATGGCCCTTACTCCTAGTCTCCATATGTCTCCATAGTCCGAAGTATCCCTTAGAATTTGTGATCTTGATCAAATGTGAATTATGCTTCGGCCGCTTGTGTGGGCTGGGGAGCCTGCATCTGCGGCTTTGCGGCCTCTACGAGACGCCCCCTAACACTTGCCGCATTTACGTGGGAGCTACATCGAAGGTCGCGGGATGCTGTAAGTGGAGGTATGCAATTTTCAGCAATTAGCACTATACTGGGGGTGACAAACAGGTACCATCAGGGATCAACTGATACGAACATCGCCTGGTGACTCTGAGGGTGGAACCGTACGGATCCAAGAGGCACGGCTGGGTACACCGCCAGCTTGCGGAATGAAATCTATCAAAACCTGTAGACTGTAGAAGCCCAGAGGCTTGCAGCCTCCAAGTTCCTTGCACTGGCCTTCAACACTTCATTCTAGGCATGCCCAGTTTTCTTTGATGTTTGGCTTCGACTAAGCTGGAGTGTTGTTAAGGTGCTGCTGTCTAGCTGTCGCCTGCTGTAGCTGGCACCAGAGCCTGCAGCCCTAGGGAGGATCTTGGTCCGGCATCAGCAACTGTCTGAAGAGAGGTAGATGTTGCAGACATCACATGCGAAAGCGACTCAAATGACCGTGACACACGAGTCAAGCTTCCCGCCAGGCAGAAATCCCTGGGAACCTCTGTCTGCGAGAGGTTGGCAGGGGTTCAAGCCAGCATGAAGACACAGCAGTCTGCAGAGCAAGAATAACAGAGAAACCTACACGAACTGAAACACAGAGCCTTGTGAATTCTCAGTGCGGAGGTGCTGGTTATCATGTCTTATTGCCTCTAGATGAATAAGCAAGTGCTTGTCAGTCTTCTGGCGGCTTGAGATGTATACACAAAAATCTTTGTCAGCAGGGCCTCTTCTTGCTTACAACTTGCCTGCGGACGTGGATGTGATGGCTGTGCAGAAGGCCGTTGACTCAGCAATGCTAGTGGCCATGGAGGCAATCAGGTCCCCAAAGGGCAGCTCGCGTTGTGCTGTTTGCCAACTTGCCAATGCCACCGTCATCCTGTGCATCAAGTGCCACCTTCAAAAGTAGCTAGATTGCTGAAACCGTGGGCGCAATCGCTTCCCCAATTCGCCATGGTTGGCTCTCTTTGGCCGGATGCCCTGTGTCACTTCTCAGAGCTGGATCACCGCAGCCTCCAGCCAGACCTCCGCCTTTTTGGAGATGCAACCAGTGCATGTGACAAGGGTGGCAAGTGGCGATGGGGCATGCATCTGTTGGGCGCACTTTCTGAACGAGGCTTTCAAGCGAATGTTATAGTCGCCACTCCGGTAATCAGCGCTAGTGGCAAGACACGTCTTTGGCGGAAGGCTACGCATTTGGCGGCAAATTTGGCCTGCAACGGCATTCAGCTAAACATAGTGGTTGTCAACGCGGCCATCACGGCATGTACCAGATGCGAGCACTGGCAAGAAGCCGCCAGCATCTTCCGCCGACTTCAGCTCGAAAGCACATTTAAAGCGGACATAATCACATATGGTGCAGTTCTCAGCGCACTTGACAAAAGCGACAAGTGGCTAGAGGCATTCCAACTCTTGGCGGACATTCGCGTCATTGGAATGGAATTCAACCCTGTCATTTGCACAGCCGCATTCGCCACCTATGGCAAAGGGGGCAGAGTGCAGGAGGCTGATGTTCTGCTTGAAGACGTCTTCTCTCAGAGGCTGCAAAGCGGCATTGTTGTACACAATGCTGCAATTACTGCTTATTGTCGCATGCAGCAATGGCAGAAGGCTTTGCGGGTTTTCGAGCGTGTGCATGATGCCAGCCTGGAAGTGGACACGTTTACCCTGAGCTCTGCTCTGAGTGCTTGCGAGCTTGGTTGCCAATGGCAGCATGCCAAGGATTTGTGGGTAGACCTTTGCGGCAGTAAGTTGCAGCCAAGCCTCGTAACATATAACGTCGCACTGCGGGCTCTTGTGAGCGGCAAGCAGTGGCAGGATGCTTTGAGCTTGTTGCAGGCAATTTCTGCCTCAATGTTGCAGTGTGATCAGGTTACTTGTTCCTCAGCCATCGGCGCATGCAGCTCGTGGACATACGTGCTCAGCATGCTACAGCAGGCCGAAATTTCTGGCCTGACACACGATGACGTCACGAGGTCAGCGGCGGCAAGCGCAATTGCTGGCCAGACATGGCAGCGAGCTCTAAGCCTGCTTCTCTGGGGCGAGATGCAAGTGGATGACGCTACCGGCACTACCATCATAACAGCCTTAAGTGAAGGCTACTCTTGGGCACGTGCATTTCATGTACTTCATCATGGACTGCGAGGGCAAAGTTTTTCTGGCAGCACTGCGCTCTATGACTCTGCCATTACCATGTGCGGAAGGCATATTAAGTGGCGAAGTGCACTAGTCTTATTGGATGCCTTGCTTCTTCGGCATGGCAATGTGGCATTGAGAACTTGCAGTGCTGCCCTCAAAGCATGTGCAGCTGGAGAGCACTGGCAACACGCAGTCGCCTTGATGCGTTCAATGGACGATTTGCATTTATCACCTGATGCAAAAACTTTCAGCCCAGTCATCAGCGCATGTAGGAATTGGCAGCTGGGGCTGCTCCTTTTTCAGCAGATGAGGAACCAACAAACCCGACCGAACCCAATAACCTGCAATGCCGCTCTCAACGCGTGCGAGTGGTCTGGACAGTGGGCACATGCTCTGCATTTGCTGGATCTGTTCCGTCAGGAGCAGATACAGCCGGACATTTTGAGTTGCAATCTAGTTGTGGGTGCATGTTCCAAGGCAAAGCATTGGGAAATGGCTTTGCACATGCTCCTGCAAATGGGTAGTGCTAGTTTGCAAGCAAACACCATCACCTTTAGCTGCCTTTTTGAGCAGTGTGGGCTGCCATCACCCTTGCAAGTCAGCTTGCTTTCTTCGCTGCAAGGCTCGGGAATGCAAAGCTTGACAAGGATACATAGTACTGGGAGAGCACGAGGAACCCAAAAAAGGATGGCTCATGAAGGGTCGGGTGGTCATGTCTAGAGAAGCTGCAGACTTTGACAGCTTCAGCTTAGCAAGGTCTTTGAGCGCTACGGCAGCATTGACAAGGCCGGAGACGGCACAGGGCTGTGCTGAGAGGCGTACCAGCTGCCCAGTGCAGATGGTGTGGCAGGTTCACGTCATCAATGGCCGCTGCGCGAAGGGTTACAGGAGCTGCGCCTACGCGCTAATCTCAGCCTATCCTGAGCCTACTGGGCCTACTCGGTGTTCGGAGCTGCAGCCTGCAGGAGATGCCTCGAGGGGCTTAAAGTGGTAATAGCACGTCAGACAGCCTCCGCTTAAAGGTGCGAACCAATCCCTTCATGTGGTCCCAAAGCTGGGAATGGCGGCTGAGGTAGTCTTCCGCGCCATTGCAGATGCACTGACCTCAGCAACATAAGCGGAGTGGCTAGAGCACGCCTTGCGCATGCTCAAGATCATGGGTCTTTTCAGAGTCCGAGAGAGTGTGGCAGCCAATAATAACTTCAGAGTGCGACGGCGCCTCAACTTCTTGGAGGGTTTTGTCGATTGCTTCGCAAGCATTGACCTCAAAAACAAGCAAGACGAAATGCGGCAGACCAATGGCCACTCTGATGAGTACGTAGTGCTGAGAAGCTCCCGTGTCCCAATCTGGGAGTGCGATCAGGATGATTGCTGACAAGTGTGTGGTAGAAGTCAATCACTATCGTTAATGGACACAAGCTGCGAATCTCTTCTTTATGTTTACATGTCCTCCCATCGCTGTTGACCACAATCATCATTCCATTCGAATCGCCTTCTTGGCAGGCGGAAGCTGCACAGAGAGAGCTGCACAACCGCTTCACCATGAAACCAGGCTGGGGTTTCCGAAGTCCATGACGGACGCCCACTCCAGCTGTTTGGGATCAAATGCCACTAGGTCGTTTTAGTCTTAGGGGGTAAGGGTTGGCTAGGTGAGAGCTTATCCTTCTAGACATCGGGGTAAGGCGTACGGAAAGGATGGCTCCTTGCAGAGTTGTGTTTTGCCAGCTCTTGCTGCCAGACATTGGGCTCTGCCCAAATCTTGCTTTATCAGGAGTGACATGCTTTGAACTGAGGTTGGCTCGAGGCCAAGCTGTTGACGTAAGGGAATTCAGCCATGAAGTCCCCAACAAGATTATCGGAAGTTGGGGCCAAAGGTCTCCAGTACTCAGTACGCAGTGTAGTTGAGCATAGCCATGAGCGCCTCCTGGGACCTTGCAGCGGTCAAATGCTGGCTTCAACAAGCTGGGCATGACGATCTTGTCAAAGTCGTTGACCAAGAGCAAATTGATGGCCAAGTTCGCAGCTAAGTTGGCACAGCCCCCCGTGCGAAATGAGAGCCTGGAGGCAAGGAAAGAAAGCTGGCAGCAGCTGAGGCACTGCAGTCTCTGAACATCGAGATTCTGACAAAGCTTGAGGCAATGCACAAGAAGCTTATTTTCAGTAAGCTATGTGGGACTCAGGATGATCTGAAGTGTGGTATCATCCCTAACTCCATTTCTGGTAGCTGGCTGCAATGATCGATGGCAGTCTTAGCCCCACAAAACTACAGGCATATACAGACCCATGCTAAGTATTACAATGTGGGGAAGATTCATACAACACTCTAGTTTCCATGCATTTGCTCATTCGTCTAAATATTCCTATACGCTCGTCAAATAACCCTTGTTTCCATGTCATGTTCCATTGTCTTTCCATTTGATTCCCCATTATAAGGTAACATCCCAGTAGCCCGAAAACGAAAAACGCATGTGAACCCTATATAAGCCCTGTAATTAACCCGTACAAACCCTACATGCCTCCATGCTAGGTGCCGCTGGATCGGGCCAAAGCGCTGCTTGAATCCATAGCAGAGCCTGGACAGCACTACGCAAGTTTCTGCCGCAGCTTCTACCGTGGCCCGAGAAATTTGTTTGGAACAGACAAAACAAATCAGGACACATTGCCAGAAACGAGGGTCTTGCAGGTTAACATTCCAGTGCTGTTCACTGAGGAATTGGAAGGGAGCAAGCAAAGCGACCACCGAAATGCAGATAGTCGCTGGGCAAGCTTCAGCATTCAGGTGGACGTTAGCACAAAGGACGACTTCCCAGTTTTGCGCGTTCCTACCATTCTGAGGTGACGAGCCGTGCAAGGTGGTGTTGCTCATGGGGTTTCCTGGACGGAAGTCGGAGGTATTTGTATATTTGCCTGCTCCAAATGGCTTTTTCAGGATGACGAAGGTGTAAGAGTTGGAAAAATGACCTGAACCTGCTCCAAAGCCCTATTTACCCTGAGTTAGAGGCTCAACCTCACAGCCTTTGACATGAAGCCAGACAAGGGGGAAACCTACCCTTTCTGTCTTGAGCTAGCAGCTGATTTTCGATTGCACAAAGCAGCCGTCACAGTCTAACAGCTGTAACAGGGTTAAGGGCCCCCATGCATCAGAAGATAAGGTTAGATGTGCGCTTCTACTCACGTGTGCTCTTCCATGCTCGCAGCTGAGGCCCCCTGCTAGTGGGAAGTCGACCTTGGGCGAGAACTTGGCCAGCCGCTTCAAAGGTAAGCACCTCGACCTTGGTGTGTGCCTTCGTGACAACTCAGCCCGACCACCTGCAGACCTGCTGGTGGATTCTATCCACCAGGAGATGGAAGAGGTTGCTCCTATCGTCTCCTAACTTGTTACTTAACATTTGGGCAAATAAGCGGTCTTCTGCACTGCGAAGCATGGCTACATACTGACAGTCCCGTAGCAGTTCTGCCTGGCAGGCGCGCCGCAAGGCTTCCTCGGACCGCAAGCCTGATTTGGTGTTTGTGAATGGCTTCCCTCGAATGATGGACGGCCTCGAGCTACTCAGAGACCTGGTCCATCCTTCTATGGTTCTGGTTCTGGATGCACCCGATGATGTGCTGAAGGCTCGAGCAGAGAAGAGGGGGCGTGAAGGAGACCACAACTTCGGGGAAAGGCTTGCATTTTACAGGACCGCAACAGAGCCGGTGGTCTCCGCATATCGTAATGCCGGGATCACTCGGCACGTCGACGCCACTTCCAGTCAGTCGCTTGTGCTTGCATCCGCGCTCTACCACTTTGAACCAACACTGGTGTTCGCCCCAGGGAAGGCAGCTTTGTATGTTCCAGTTTTAGACAAGGTCGAGCAAAGGCTGGGCGAGAAGATGAAGCGGATCAGCGTGGACCAGATCCGGAAGGAGGTGGACAGCAAAGCCTTGGTCCCTCGAATACTGCAGGAGCTTGCACTGAAGGGCTGCTGGGGAAAGCTTGTTGTTGTGGAAGGTTTTCCAGAAGATGTGGCAGAGCACAAGGCCTTTCCTCAAGAAGCCCTTCTGATTCTGGATTTCCAGTCGAGAATGGGTTTCCTAAAGGAGTTCCCTTCTTCGTTCGTAATACCTTATTGCAACACGAAGAATTCCGTGGATACGGTGACCAAGCTACTGCAAAACTGCCTGCCTTTGCAGCTCGCACCTCCCCTCATGGCAATTAACTTATTGAAGCGCTGGATGGACTGTGCCCGTAGCATGCCATGGTGGGATATTGATTTCTTCCGCTTTCAGGCAAAGCCCAGTTACTTCAACTACATGAGGCAGCAGGCAGCCGCGGCTCGCGCCCAGGCAGAAGAAGCCAAGTTCACAAGGCCTTTCCAAAGTCCCCCAAGTGAAGCGTGGCTTTGCTGGCTCACCCACCAGCTGCACACGGAAAGCTACACGCACTTCTGTAAGCAACTTGCAGGCGTCCCTCTGACATTGGGGCCTATGCCACCGGCTCTTGTGAATACACTCTCGGAAAGCATGGCTCGGACTGCGAGGAAGCCTACAGTAGCGACAGCAAATGAAGGTTTGCAGGAGATTTTGTTGGAGCGCGATGCGCTGGTCAATATCCCTGTGGCCTTTGTTCTGGCTTTTGCTGCATTCGAAGAGGCTGGGCTCTCACCTTTGAGTGATCCCCGCACAGTGGTTTTCAGAGCTGAGCACCCTGGATCGCGGCAGCCAGACTTGATGTCATGCTTCTTGAACATCATGAACTTGTTCTACAGGCGGTTTTTCCTTGTTATGGGACAGGCCAGCCCTGAGAGTCTTGCGGGTCCAGCTGTAGAGCTTGACTGGGTGTGGCATGCCCACATGATGCACCCATTGTACTCAGAGGATTGCTTACAACTTTTTGGCCACGTGGTGCCCCATATTCCCTGCAAGCCTGGCGATGCTGAGCGCGTGAGAAAATCTCCACCAGATGACAGCCGCCTCATGATGGCGAAGTTGGATGAGCTGCTTCGTTCTCAACTTCGTGCCCTTGCAGCCTCAAGGCATCTCACTGAAGCTTTGGAGTGGGAGTTCCCCAAGGATTGGGCGCAGGATGCTTCGGCTGCGCTGGGTTGCTTCATTCCAGGCGGCAACAACTCCTGGCTATCAGAGCGATTGGAGTCGAGTGGCGGCAGGCTTGGGCAAGCCTTTGTCCGGTCCCTCAAGAACCCCGCAGGCTGGATCTGCCCCGTGCGGACGGAAGTGACGGAACAAAAGACTTCGGAGAGAGATCCCGCCCTCCTGGAAGTCAGCGTGCGTCTCATGTCGGGCGAGAAGCTTCTGGACTGTGTCATGCACAAGGACTGCACGATAAAGGATCTCATGAAGGTCTGCGAGGAGGCTGGAGAAGCGGATTTCAAGTTGCTTATGGAAGGAGTGCAGGCTTCTGCAGAATGGCTGCTGGGTGCGACTGCAATAGCGCGGGGCGAAGTAGTTCACCTTGTGCGCGTACCGCGTCCGCCTCCAGTAATCACGAGACGGACAAGCAGCCCCGATTGGAACAGAATCCCGTGCACATGCTTTACTGACTTCTGCCAATTCCAAGTTCTTGTTTCTGGCAGAGAGGTATCCAGGTTCATGCGAGATATACGCGAAGGTGACATAGTGCGGACGGGATCTGATGTTGAGCAGGACAGATACCGACAAGTCGTTCGCGTTTGGAAGTGCAAGACTGTCAGTTTGTCTGAGACTGTGGAGCTGGCTCCCGGGTGCAGACTCACAGTCCCTCGTCCCCACTTGGACATTCTGTCCCTTTGTAGACTCAGTGCCCCTTGAGGCTTCGGCTAGTGAAATGCTCAAGAGAAATTGTTGGTTATGCAGCAGAGGGGAGAAGACTTTGCAGCCTTTGGAGCCAATCAAGTCTTTTAGGTCTTGCTACAAAAGAACCATCCCTGCTTCTGTTAACTTTTTGAGTGCTGCTGTTGCTGCTACTGGTGCTCGGGGTGGGGGCGGCAGCGGCACTACCGTTTCCATCACAAACACTCGGGATCTTAATTTGATATTCCTTCTCAGGTCGGCCATCCCGTGCTGCTGGGAGGAGGGAGGTTCTCAAACATAGCATAACCTAGCATACCCTGAGCAAGCCCATAGTGTACATATGGGTGTCTCCGGAATGTTGATGAGTGTGTTTCGGGTGTCCTTCTTGGAGCCTTCTAGGGAGGTATGGAGTTCTTAAAACATTGATATAGCCCATGTACTCGTGATGTTACCCTGACTGTAACCATGTTATCCCTATGTAGTAGCATAACCTGTCATGGATGCCAAACAATCAGAATCCAGAAAATCCTCGTATAACCGCATAACCCCCTCTATAACTCCATCGTTGACCCAGTATGGGTGAGAACAAGCCCATGAAATAAGAAGTAGCTCCCGCATCATCCCAAGAAGCTCCTGTATAATCCATATCCCCCTAACGTAACCCAGAAGAGTCCATATAACCCCGTATTCAGAATCAATGTCTTCCCCGCATAACCTTGGGAGACTGCCAGGAGAATGGCATCGACCCGAAACCTGCCAAACTGCTGAACTTACCCGTGAAGAAAACGTGCACCCGGAGCCCATACGAGGTAGTTTCGATGGGGTCTAGGTTTCCAGGATCCGGATTTTGGGGATAGGGATGGAGATTCTGTGGGTAGCTTTTGGGAATAGGGGAGCGCAGAGGGGTGGGAGAAGATATTGGGCTGAGAGTCTTGGTATATAGTAATATAGTAACTATAGTACTATAGGGGGGTATATAGGGATGATGGAAAAGAAAATGGAAACTGCTATAATTGGGTTACATGGGGTATACATTGGGGTTATACAGGGGCGGTGTTTTTGATCATGGTGTCGGTGAGTGTACACGGGTAGTATTTCTTAAGAAGACATCAATGCAGGGCCTGGAAAGCAATGCATGCCCATATGTTTGCGCGCTGGCTTTTGGGAGGACTGATGCAAGGAATGATAGAAAGACGAAGCCATTGTCTGTTTTAGAAGGACACATTATAGAGGTTAGTACAGGGAGGGACAAACAACCTACACTCCTCGGGGTGTGGTACAGGCTCAGGCTGACCATATATTGAAACCATAAATTGGGGACAAGCCACTGAGGGTCTCTCGCCTACCCACCTGGATAAACCGTATTACTGTTGATATGATCACTGCTCCGAACTCACAGCTTGTCAGGGAACCGCTTTGATCAGCTTCAGGTACACGCTGGAGTTGGAAGGCCATGTTGACACAGTGCGCGTGGGGTCGCGAAACAAAGCCGTCATTTGTGCTGCGTTGGGCGTTTATTGTGGAGAAAGATTTGGATGGAACATCTTCACAAGAAAGACCCGACCATGCCGAAGCTGGCCTGGTTGTAAAAAGTGCCGTGTTGCAGTGATGCCCAAACTGGATTTCTCTGCGGTCACCGTCGACATGCTCAGCGAGCGGTACAAGCCGTATTGATGGAACGCGGCTTTCTCTGTACATTGAATGGAGATGCACAGGTTGGTAGCTGCAAAAGTTGTTTGGACACCAGACTGGCAAAAGGCTGTTTCACCCGACTGTTACGACTGCCGATCGGCATCGTGCTGCTGACCAAAGGTATGGTGTGCTGCATAAACAGAGCCAATCTGGTCATTCTTTGCGCATACCTGTTCTCTTTGAGTCTGCCATCCTGATTGTAATCCGCCCTGAATCCCTGAATCCCTAAACCCTAAATAGTAGTTTTCATGTTCTTTTCCGCATCATTCCAATTTAATCCCAATTCCAAAATGAGGGTCTGGCCAAAGTGCAAGCCTGCCTGCAACAGGCTCTTCGGACGTCATATTCGTGGAGTTTGCAAATGATGGGCCACCCGCACCGCCTGGTAAAAGCAGGATGGGGCCTTACTGAACCCCCGGTGTTCGGTTATAACACCCAGTCAAGCCACCCGAAAGATAGCAATCACAGCCATATCACCTTTCTCATGGGCACCGCAGGGGTCAAAAAAAGAAGCCCCTCCGCGCCCGTGTAGAAGCCAGCGTTGGTGTTTAGCTAGTTAGGTTGTCAGCCGCGAGTCGTGTGAAGCGCCGAAGCGCCCAGAAGTCCAACTTCACCGTTCCTAAAATAGGTTGAGCTTGCGGCATTAGGCGCTTCCCATGCGTTTCACCCTGAAGTTTAAGCATTTGGGTGCCACAAGCGCCATGCGACAAAACAGCCACGCATCTTGAATCTTCTGTTGGAAGATGCTCGAAGCCCGGGTTCAGGATGGAATTTGGAAGCTGCGGATCTTTTCAACCTACAACATGCGAAGGACACAAGGGGAGCAATAGCTACAATACTGAATAATCCATGCATACGATCAAAGAATGTAAGGCAGCAAGTGTACGTACTTGGGAGCTGGAATCATGTAATTCATCACCCCGGCAGTACCGCGACCCGTCCCATGTATGATTCTTGATTCTTCTCCCGGCTGAGGTGGTGGAGAGCTTCAGAGCCAAAGGATTCAGAGTTTGAAGGCCTCCCCAGCCTCAAAAGCTGAGCAATTTATGGCGGTCTTAGATTGGCAATGGAAATTATTCTAAATTACCGTTTCAAAAGACCTTCAGACACGTTTTGCATTTCGTTTCCCTTTCGGCCCAGCTGTCGGGGCATTAGGAGCCGCCCCAGACCCCATGGCTTCACTCTGTCAGAGAAAGCGGAGGCCTTTCGTGGGGTCGTTTGTGACTTGCTGAGCTGTGGAATGGGCTGCTGTCCTCCCCATAGGCCAAATCAAAGACAAGGAAGCTTGACCGCGTATGAGTTAGGTGGTGTTTGGATGTGGGATAGTAAGGGGGGCAGGTTGAGCATGGAAAAAAACAGGGCTGTCATTCTCTCTTTGCTCAGTCACACACCAAGCAGTCCCAGCTCGTGTTTCGGAGGCATCTTAATTGATTGGAGACATGGGTGCTCCTTGGCTGCAGTAGTGCAGCAGGCACATCCATCAGATGTATGAAGCTAGCTAGGCTGGCTGCGGTCTACAATACTGCTGGCAACAGAAAACTTGCTGCCAAAACGACACAGTAGGCCGCACTGAACATGCGATGTGCCATCATTTTGCGGCCGACATGAGCGGCTGAAGCTGCTTGAGATGTTGAGGAAAACAAGCTGTTTGTGGGCTCATTGCCCGCCGACATCTCGAAGGAGGACGGCTGGCTCTGAGAAGTATCAAGCGGGACAGACAGGGAGTTCTGCACTTACACTTACCTGGGGCAAGGAGAAGTTCAGGCCGTGTGTTTTAACTACTTAGTTTGCATCTTTGCATCCCATGTCGCACTGAGCAAGTTGCATTCCTGGTTTTGCTGCTTTGTCAAAATTCTGAACCAGCTTCAACATGTTCACAGTTCAACCTTCTCGCAGCAGGTGAATGAAAGTTGGACCTTGAAGTACCCAACCTTATGCGGGGGGCTGTAACACTGTAGCAACATAACCTTTAGTGGGTCATCACCACGGTCGCAAGACTGGCAAGGAGATCGAGATTGTGTTCAAGACGTACGGTACAGTCACGGATGTGCACGTCATCGCTGGTGACAGCACCCACGGCTGTGTTTGATTGGTGGCCTTCAACAGCAGAGCACAGAAGACAATGCGGGCAATCCTCACGTTGGCGGCTCCCACCACTCCTGACAGGAAACCGATCGCAGACGGGACAGGCGTGCGTATTGACCTCAGCCAAGATGCGCATGTTCAACAGCTGAGGCAAACAACTCAGTGCCCGTCAGATCAAAACAGTTGCTCAGGACAAGTGTGAAAAGCAAAAAGAATCAGAGCGGCGCATCACCCATCCCCAGCAGATAATGCAGGTCACCTCGGACTCAAAAATCCCAACACCTGCACAATCGAAACTGATGTTGCGCTGAAGTCCGACTAATCACGTGCAGCTGCCTGCAGTCATGTGTGCGAGTATCGCCAGTGGCCGTCACCGGCAATGACAGCCGGAACCAATTTGCTCAACACAGCTCTTGCTTTATTGCTGTCCTTGCCACCTGGTTGTTCAGATTTGCACTAAATGCCTAGCCCAAAAATCCACAACAACAGTAGTACTGATAATAATGTTTATGCTGCCGCTGGTGGTAGTAGTGCTAGTAGTTGTTGTAGTCGTAACTGCGGCAGCAGTCTCAGTCATAGTGGTGGTGGCGGTGGTGGCGGGGCTGCGGTGGTGGGATGGGATGAGGAGTGGGAAAGTCAGCAGTACTCAGCACGCATCGCTGCAACTCGCAGCCCATTTGACAGCTTTGACAACACTAGATATTTCTTGTGCCACCACGCCTTTTTTTACGATCCCAGAGCTTGAGAGATTTAGGCATGGTGCATTCTAGACCTATCATCATACTTGATCCATGTTCAGAGCGTTGCGGAGAAACCCAGCGAGGCCCCATCCCCATTCCTGGGAGCATCTGAGGCTTTTGTGATGTACGACACCAGACAGGCAGCAGAAAGCGCCATCCAGGCCTCGCCTTTCAAACAAGCTGTGGCTGAGGAGTTTCCGCAGGATTCGCAGGTAAGGCTTCCATTTTTTGAGGTTATAGAATAAAGGGCCCGTTGTCGAGGCTTGAGGTATCAGAAGTGTTGAAATGCTGTTTGGAGAACACGGCGCGGCGCTTCCACTGAATGAGAGTGGGTATGAGATGTAAGATTTCGATCCAGGTATGCCTTCAACTGCTGAAATGAGCTTCAGATTTTCTGATGCCTGTTCTTCGCGGCTTACGACGCTGCATGTTACTGAAGGTTGCTTTGAATTAGGAACGGAAAGCTTGTTGGTTTTTCCTGAACGCTGGACGCCTACACTC